GGGGGGGGGGGGGGGGGCACTCACCCTTGTCCCCTAACCGGAGCATTGCTGTCTGTCAATACTCAGTACGTGGAAGGGAATGACTTGGAGTAGTAGTAGTAGTTGAAGCGGTAGTACAGGATGGTCAATGGTAGGTGTTAAGTGTAGTGGTAGAGCCCGGTGCGTGCCGAGGTTCATCCAAGAGAGAGCGAGAGGGATGCGCGCGTACGGGGGGCGTGGCGGGAGGACACGAAGGGGGGGGGCGGGCGGTGGGGTGGGGGGGTCATCCTCTCGCTTTAACGCGCACGCCCCCTCGCTTCTCTATTAGTACGAAGCACTTGCTCACGGTTGTTGACATGAATACTTACCACGTTTGTGTGATCCACCTCCCGACATTTCATCTTGCTCCTGCGGAGGCTAATTGATGCCTCATTGTTCGGTCGCCCTTTCATGTGTCCTTCAAAATCATGGAACAACAACCAACCACCGTTTTCGCCACACACACACACGCGTGCTGTTGCTGGCTCAAAGAGAACACCACCACCGTTTTCGCCACACACACACGCGCGTGCTGTTGCTGGCTCAAAGAGAACACCACCACAATCATCCCCCAGCATTCACCGCCGACGACAACATGGTCCGTTACCACACACACCTTGGCGAGGTTGCGCGGTGTGTCGGGGTTGATGCCCTTGAGCAGGGCCAGCTCGTAGGCAATGAGCTGCAAGGGGAGCACGCCGATGAGGGCCGTCAGGCGGTCGTTGGAGGGGATCACGATCGGGTCTTCGTCCAAGCCTTCCGCGAGCTGTTAACGTAAAGGCACATCGACCCCATGATTTCGGCGTCGTCCGTGTTGTGATGGTCGTGCAGGGGTAGCCAAAGACGAGTTGGGGACAGTGGGGAGGGGGGAGTCGGCCAACATTTAGCGTCCGCGCTGTTGTGGAAGTTTTATTTACAAGTACATCGGCCGAACGCCTTGTTTTAACTCAACAAAGACCTACTCTCGCAAGTTCCCTTCACTGGCATTTTTTGACGATGAGTGGTATGAGGTATGACTCACAGCTGGCTTGTCGGTGATAATGATAACGTCCGCCCCGCGAGCCTTGACCTCCATGCCGGCCGTCCTCATCTGGTGGGCGTGCTCATCGTCCAGGATAAGCATGATCACCGGCGTCGACCCCTCCGGTCCCTTGCGAGGGACAAAAACAAAACAAAAAATCCCGACAAAATCAGACATAAATATACATGGAAGCAATAAAATATCAGACGCGGGGCTTGGGGGGGCGGCACTTAAACGCGGGAGGCGGGAAACAAGAAAACTTTGTGTGTGTCCCCGATGCCGACTCGGCGCAAGTCGAGAGTTAACGAAGCTAGCACCGAAAGACTTGAACCTAGACTGCCAAATCGGCCTGGAAAGATGACTGACGTCTGTCTCTTTTGGTGTACCTGGCTACTCACTACATCCCTCCGTCGATAAGCGCGAAGGACGCGAGCCGTCTTCGTTCGACAGGCCAGCGGACCTGCTCCCGAAACACATCAAAACATCTTGTACGGTGCAAACAAAATTTTCGCCACTGCTGTTGGTAAAAAAAACGTATCTACTTGGTGCTGTGTACTCACATCCTCTCCATCGATGAGCGCGAACGGTCCGTGCTTGAGGGCACCGCCGCTGTACCCTTCGGCGTGGATGTACGACATCTCCTTCAGCTTGAGGGCCCCCTCCATGGCCACGGGCTCACCGTACCCCTTGCCCAGTACGAAGCAGTGGTTCTTGTTGTGCAGCCTGATCGGTCAAAGGTGGTGGGGGAGGTCGTATTTTGTTTTCCAGGCCTTGGTGGCTAGACCAGTGGCCACGCTTCCTCGAGAGGACGGAGCATTGTTTCCACAAGGGGGGGG